GTTACAACTGGGAGCTTAGACTGCCGTTTTTGAGAAGGTCACCTGAACGAGGTGACTAAGCCCCCGTAAACATCAATACGGAAAACGTGCATTTTGTAACGTTCAAGGATTGTTCGTTCATCAACAAGTTTCATTCTGGATAAAGGGTTACCACCACCGTTTACCCCATTTGCATGTCCAGGAGTAACTTAGTTTCCTGACTCTATCGTTTGTACTAGGCATCCATTTTCATTCGTTGTTTAGCCGAATTACAACACAGACAGACGGATGAACAAACAAGTTGGTCACAAACAACATGATGACTAATCGTTCACGTGAACAAAATCAGGAGCGAAAGACACGGCGACGCCTTTGTTTGTACAAGGGGTGCAAGTAATGCAACAGCCAGATTAACATGAATTCGAACGAACCGCTGAAGTCGGTTGCACGATCCCTTAGACAAAAGAATTCAATCCAGTCTAATGGGTGTTTTGACGATTCGACAGCCGGCGCAGATTAATAATATGCTTAATGGCAAGGTATGCCAGCTCCCCAAATGTGAAAGTCTAATCCGCTGAAACATTAGATCGATTGGTTAATGGGATGCCGGGATTTCGGCAACTACTAGCTACTCGTGAGTAGGTAAGGGCTCCAATGGAAGTATAGCGAAGTATATGGGTTGGCCTAGGTCAACCGCAGTCAAGTGGTTGAAAGTCAAGCAAAGTGTCTCTTATATCCGGAGGCACATGTGGTCTGCAAACACCATAGACTCACTAGATGGAAGACAGCCTAGTGGAATATGTTGTTCTAATCCGACGTTTCGGTTGCCGTGGGCAACCTTTTTGAAGAATTTCTGAATTAGTTGTAGAAATCCTCAAAAAAAGTTGACCGTGGTAACCGAAACGTCGGATCACAACATCGTATTCCAACAAGATGTGTTTTAACCTTAAAAACATCACATGGCACTCTATCTTTTCAACATTGTCCTAGCCAATCGTTCGGCTGTAGCACCCTCTCGGTGCCCAACTGGCATGCCACCAGAAGGGCTGAGATACTGTCAGGTTGCTCAAACCTAGACGGGAAGTCGAGATGCAGAGGTCAGGTTCGAACCACGTACCTTCCGGTCAGTAAATTCGCGCTCTAACCTTCTCAGCCATCTTGTCTTCATCTCGTCCGAGCTAATGTTCGCCCGGAACTCCCAGGCGTTGTCAGAAAGTGGAGAATAATATTGGATTCCATCGTCTTGAATTTTATGGAAAACAGGCTAGCCAGGTAAACATAGGCAACTGTTGATAGATCAGAGGCCAGGGGATTCCATCTAAGGATATACGGTGAGCTGTAAAGTCACAGATGGAAACTGAACTGGGTATTGTGGTTCCTAGCTCTCTATTGTCAACCTACGTGTTCCAAGAGGGCGATTTGGAAAGGAAAATACAGGGGAAGTACGGCATCAGCAGTAACTGTTGTTGAGAGACAGGAAAGTTTGAAAGTTCTGTTGGATCAATCAAACATTGTTCTCTTCGGAAAGACTTTTCACGTTAAGCTACTTTTAGCGTTTATGACGGCATCACATTTGAAAGGTTTGTCACACTGGTGATAACTAATTAGGCAGTTTTACCTGTGCCAGCTTAAATTACTTCAAGTGGTTTTTTGCTTCAACAGTCGGGGTGTAGCCCCTTTTTTGGTGTTAAATCTTATCGGAACCCATTTGATCAAGCTGGTTGCTCCGGAAATAGAAATCTTGATGGGGAAAACTGCGAGAAACATTTTAAGTTCCATTATGGGGTTTTGTTTTCAATTCTACCGGAAACATCCGGAGTTCTCACACGGAGTTACTAGGATTCTTCAACGTACACAACCTAGTGTTGGGAATTTCGAGAGATTTGGAATCAGTAAATACGACATTTGCGAAAAACACACTGTCATCGACTTTAAACCAAGACGAAACTGCAGTGTTGTGTATAGTTTCTACTCGACCAGCTTGGGCCTGAAAGGTGTTCTTTGGCTGTCTAAATTACAATCATCCCAGTAGTGACGAACCAAGGCGAGACCTGAGATAGTGAAATCACGGAGTGATACTGCTGCTCGGACACGACTAGACCGAGCGTGAAAACATCCTAAACGAGAGAATCAGTTGGGTTTTAGATAAGTCTCCGGCAAAACCAAACTCGTTTGCAAATGCGTGTATTTCGCGAATAACTTTGTGTTTTTACTCCCACAATAAGGTATATTTCTATGAGCACAATNTTCGCCCGGAACAATAAGGTATATTTCTATGAGCACAATTTTCAATCAAACCGTTAGTTCAAATATAATGGTTTTAGCCGTCTAGCGACGTGAAATTTCCTTTCAGTGATTCTCGCTTTCTTCGGACAGATTAGATTTAAAGTCGAACAAGTTGTTTTTCATCCACCAATCATATTTTCGAGATGAATTTATTCTCCGTCTCAACAGTAGTTTTCGATTAGTGGATCCTTTATCATTGCAAGATTGGTAAATGCTGTGAGGCGACAACTCAACAACACCAACTTCTATATTGTTTGTTTTTGACCAAGCCATTAGTGTCCACAGTTGTGAAAGCAGCCTTGTTATTCCCGGTTGCCCTCTTCTGTCAAGTTCCACACCTCCCTACTGCAATCCTTGCAACCCAAGGTCGAATTATCCTCCGCCACTAAATATGGGACTCGTCTTATCTTGTAAATCTATCTTGAGATAAAATATACAGAGAGGTATTCCTTATGACGATCAGATAAGCAATCTTCCGTTGGTAACTCACAGAGGCTCTATCACAAGCTGAAACAATCACCTTCAGGCTCTTACCGGTCATGGATCTCTCTATGAAAATCGGTAACAACAACAATATACCACAGTTAGAGAGCCTCGATTTCACGTGACTTTGTTGTAGAGAATCGGACGAATGACCAATGGTTTTATTAGGAGAACCAGCTCCGAATGTAACGTGACTACGTGGCTACCAATGAAATAACCGATTTTGTTGAGACGGATTTCATTGGATGTTCTTCACTCGGCCTTGACAGATGAGTTGTATTCTTAGTATCACTTTTTTGACCCGCTTGTACGCGACAGTGATCAATAGAGCAGCTAGATCGCACGTTCGTTGACTTTTTCTCGTTTGATCAAGCACAGCAGGCGATCAGGCAGCTATCCAGGCCGCGGTTCAAGGCAATGGGAAGGCTTAAGTGTCTGCGGCCCACAACAAGTTGGCGACGAACAACAGGTTTGTTCACTGAGCTGAGCAATTTGGTCACCAACGTTTCATTACCAGTCGAACTGACATAATCAGACCAGAAACGGGATTAGTTGTGGAAGCAAGCGAACGAATGTTACAGAGGAACAACCGGATATGTCATGTCTCAAGACTACCCAGACGTCAACCAATCAGAAGGCAGGTCAACTAACGAGCCAATAGGAATAGCCAAACCAATAATATTAGGTAAGGGAGAACTTGGGTGAGTGAACTCCATATCACTCCATGCAATGCAATAGCAACGCATCTCCATTTGCAAATCAAAGATACTCTAACCTTCACTGATGATGAGACGTCTGCGACCGAACTACCCAGCTCAACGAATAGACCGATGGCCCTCAAGGCAACCTAAAGAAGGAATACTTTCTTCAAATACAAAGTCGGATGGATTTCAAACTTATCCCTCATTCACGAAAACACTAGTGGACAATTAAGAACTCTGTCTAACTGGCAACGTCCAACATACGAAGCAGGTGATTGGTTGATAAGGGTTTTCCCGCGCAGTTTGCTGCGCAGTCTTTTGAAGGACATTATGAATGGAAGATTTGATTGCCCCACTAAACTCATTTGCGAATGGATGTGTACCTCTTTCTGGTTACCATTTGGGATTTTGGAAGTAAATAGAACAGCTGAAACCCGAGGACTACGCCCATCTGCCGAACCCAGGGGGAGACAGGAGTTTTTGTCAGCCTTCAACCACATGAGCTTTGGGGTCCACTGAAAACCTCAGATGTGCTGGGCATTCGTCTGCAGGTTTTAAGTTTGAAATTTACAAACCGCGGCAATCCACATCACATCCACACGTATGCTTTTTTCATTTTTTTTGGCACCTGAGAAAAGCAGACTTTATTTAAAAGCTGAAGACGCTGGTGTAATGGTGGATACTACTGATGAAGCATGCGAGTATTACGTGGTTTTATCATAAGTCCGCTTTGCGTCTATTGGGAAGTGGGATTTATTACAAAATTTGTGGAATTGATTTGTAGCATTCGTTTACATTTGGGTAATGGTCAATGAGTATCCAGAAAAGTTCAGGACGACACGTTGGAGAGGAAGACGGATGCTCAGTTTTTTATAAACAATATGCACACGAAAGTTTTGCTTCTGTATCCAATAGTCTGTGACTGTTAAGTTGGTGTTTTTCAATAAATAGCCGCGCAGCCTGGACCTTCTTCTTTTCACTGGTATCGACTAACTTTGAAAGAATGTTTAGCCAAAAGTGAACTCGCTTGTTGATTGACAGCCATTGCAGAAACACCCATCAATGAATGACTTATCGTATGTGGTTAGAAACGACATAAATTACAACCACTTCAATTCACACATATAATCTGATAGCCCATGCGAAATTAACACGCTTAGAATGATGCAAGAGTTTTTCAGCGGACTGAGTTATTGGTACGCAGTAAGCATACATTGTCCTGGAATGATGCGAGGTTTTTCGCGCCATTCGTCAACAACTCACCTCGTTTTTCCAGTTTTCGGCCGGGCGCTTCAAGTTCATCCGTTCAACGAAGATGTCGTCTCAGGCGCGAGTATACAGTAGATGTCGGTGGTCCAGTGGCCATCGATCAGCCACGGTCGGGAAGTCTATCCAAATCTGGGATACTACCGAACCGAACAACGCTGGCCTCTCACACGCCGGAACAGTTCAGTATATCAAAGACCCAACTTTCCAACGAGTCAATCGAGTACAGCGAACCGGAAATGGATATACCGGATGAATTACGATTCACAGCCGAAAGGTTCCAAGGTAAGTTTTCATGAGATTTAGGATCTTTTACGTTAAGATTTTACGCCTCACTCTTCAACCTCAGATCGTGAAGAATAGGTACGCCCTAAATTCAATCGAAATTGCGATACCTAGGATTTATGGTGGGGGAAACTTTTTTCTTGGCTAGAAAAGGGCTGACCACATCGAATACAAGAAAGTCCGGAGCCCAAGATAGGGATCCCGTATGACGGAAATCATTGCCGTTATCTTCAATAGTGTAACACCAGTGTTTAAAACATGACAGTATTTTTAGCTGTGTAAGTCATGATTGTAGACGAACTGTAATACTGTTAGGGCTCCCAGACCTGGACAGAAGGGCCGGTAAGATCAAAGCCTTGCCATAAGGTAGCGTCACTTGGCGGAGGTTGTTAGTGAAGTTCCAATCGCCAACCCGGGAAACCAGTAGACTCTGTTCATCAAACCTCTATCTATTGACCAACCTGAAATGAGAGACTCAGTAAGTGTTTCACGGATTCCACCAAGTATAGCTCGATGGGTCACGGAGTCACACAAACCGTCACACCATGGTAAAGTTCCGTCATTTCGTGACGATTAACACACTCAGACAGAGTTGATCATCCAGTGGAAACACAACGCATTCGTTTTTACACTCCTTTCACACCTTGTCTGAGAGTCTCCAAACTTTAGGTCAATCAACTAAGATCCAGATAGCCACTGAATATATATGAACTGGGATGAACTAACGCACAAACTTGTATATACACCTTTCGACAATATTCTGGAAGAAATACAAAATTCGACAAAGATTTCTCCCCTCTCCCAAGGCCATTTTCTTCTAAGAACGGGATTGACCATGAATGGTTTGTAACAAAGAGTGTGTACGTGAACCACACAAACGTGTGAGGCATGAAGGGATTATAAAAAAACATTTACCTTTGCCAGGTGAAGGCTTCTTAGCCTGTGCAGACTTGTCTGTTGAGGTATTATATGGCGCAATAGGACGTCATTAGCACAGTGAGCCGAGAAACATTATTACACCCCAATGCATTCTCAAATAATAAACGCTTTCTCTGCGGACTAAAGAATCCTTAGGGTGTGAAAACCACCCTGTGGTAACTCAAGACCCAGGAAACGTTCACTCGTCAGGTGATTCAGCTTCTGAAAAATACGAACAGAGAGATTTTATGTATTGCTGTAGTTTCTCTTTACAGACCATGCAGCTAGTCTGGTCGGTGAATTCTACAGCACATGCTCGATAAAAGAACCAGCTAGCTAGCTAAGAAGCGAGTGACCGAACCTCTTGGTGGAACGTACAATGTCAGCTGACCCTAACCCAGATCTGATTAAATCCAGAGTTGAATTATCGATCGCCAGGGATCTAAACGACACAGAGGACGGAGCGAAACACAAGTCATCGTTCGAAGCTTAAGCACGAATCAAATGGCTCCAGAGACAGGGTTTCCCTGCGTTTCCCTGAGTGCTTGTTCGTTTTTACCCTCTCCTCTGGACTAGCGGAGGTGTGCGGGTTACTCTAATGCTCCCTTGGGTTCACCTTAAAACCTCTGTGAATGTAAATTACACATTTTTAACACCGGAAGTGTGGGACCCGCACAGCCTCAACTTGGGATTTACATACAAACGAATCATAGGTGGTTTTCGTCCCATTCGGTTCACGACGTTCAGCGGGAACTCAATACTTGTTAAAAACAACCAGTATAAACATCACAGGGCGGGAAGGGCCTGCTGAAAGATAGAATCACGACAGTTTGTTTTGTATGGAAAATGAAAGGCTTTTCACACCTGGAATACCTTGTTTTTTACACACTGTTGATTGATTGTTGCGTCAATACTGGCCTGAGCAGTAATTCGCAAGTTTCTATGTTTCCTTTATCCTTTTATCGATCGTGAGTGACACCCAATGACGAGATGCCTCAGCGCTCAGCTGATCGATAATTCACTCTAGCCAATCGCCAAGTAATATGTGGTTCATCAGTATCACAGTTCAATCGAGGGGAAAAACACAGGCAAGGAAATGAATAACTCAGTCAAACTGAGTGTAGTGTTTGAGAAGTGATGTACACAACAAAAGTCAAATAAACAGAAGCTGTTTTCTTCAAGTTAACCTGAGCAATGTGGTTGTGGCATTTAATAAAAACTTTGGAATGACTTCCAAGAAGAGATTTATTCACCGCTCGTCCTCCAGTCAGACAGCATCTGAAGGACTAGCTTCTTTGCCGGACAACATCGGGTACGTCCATCGATATACCTGTTCCTATGGTGATAGCCGGTCGCAAATCAAGTCAGCTATCCTTTTGGATGTTTGAGCACATTCCGGTGAATCTCCTCAAAGGAAAATAGTGTCTTCCTGACAGTTCAGTTTTAGCTCACCTGCTTGATACTGGATATCACATCAGCGTTGCAGCAGTCTTTGGAACTACCAATGAGTTCCTTGAGATTTCCGAAGCCGACTAGATATGACAGCTTTGTGTGCAGTAGCGCTTTTTATAGACACTGGCATACTTCTTAATCCCATGTGACTCTCAAACAATTTGACACTTTGCGAATGCTTTTGTCCAATGAATCAATAAAACCCGTTAGACATTTGGTCAGATGGATCAGGCTGATATGCTTTGATGAATTAATACCACCACTCGCTTTGTGCTGCTGCATACAGCAACACTGAACTAGAGTAATTTGTTATACTTCATAACGTAGATCTCCACAGGAAAAATAACAGAACTACGCTAATTTCGTGCAATTTGGTTCCAAGTAGAACATAAGGTTGACGGAAACCCGGGGACAGCGGCTACCTGATGAGCCCCAAGAAGGGCGAAACCGGTCGTGGGCTGTCGATGGATTTTCAGCAACCTTATGAGTAGTACATTACAAATATACATGTATCGTGATAGTTCAAATATCGTAGCGACTGAAACATGAGGCGGCCTGGTGCAGCACATTCAGTTGCCTGAGAACATCATAAACGAGAGATTCAGCTGGGTTCCAGGTGAGTCTCTCGGAAGAACCAAATTAGTTCGCAGATGAGTGTATATTCGCTGAGAACTACGCGCCGTTTCGGGTGATTAATTGGATCACTTTCGATATATTGTGTTAATAGAAAGAGCGTAGACATGTCGTGGGAAACTGAACACGTGCATATTATTGGAGATTTTTGACTCCTATTCAACTAAGGCATCCACGGCGAAAGATACGACTGTTTACCGAATGCACAAACCAGCGACGTTTCATAGAATTTTGCGTTGCGTTTCAAAGCAGTGGATTTCTATTGACACAAGCAAGGTTGTTGTTAAACATCAGTAGCTACTAAAAAAGAAAACTAAATTATCTTGCCCAATGAATTCGAAATTTTTCAAAATTCATGGATGGCTTTTATCAGCATCCATGTGGTTTGCAGGTCACCTATGAACTACCCGATTTTCAGATGAAGAACTGCACTCACCGCTTCTATTCAGATTGAGCTATCCAGTAGTATCGAAGAGGTGTACCTGGAATCGAGCCCAAATGGATGGTATACCAGGTTGTATTCTAACTTTCTTCGCGGGGAACAAAGTATACATTATGGGTCGCGAGCCTTTTCACGTGTATTCTATGTCCACGTGCTGGAAAAATGGGATTCTACTGCGCTGCGATCCAGGAATGGGCTGAGCGCTTCCAAGGCCACTGTTAAACTGGTTCCACAGTTTAATACAATGCAGTGACCAATGAAGCGCTGTTTATTTTAAATGTTCAGGCTTGTCACTTTCTTGAGAGTCTCCTTCGTGATTTTTTCAAGCGGGATAATAAGAGTAAGTCTGTGATAATGAATCATCAGCCTGCTAGTTAGATGACAGTTGGCTCTTGTGGCCTAGAAAGTACTATGGAAATCTGGTATGAATTGTGGAAGAGCTTTGTTTTAGAATGGTCTATTTTGTGAGGAATGATGTAATCGAGGCCTTTCAAAGATGACATCCAAACAGCATTGAGCAGCTATTTCATCTTCATTGGGAATCACCGGAATTACGCACCTCATGAAGTTTCGAACCACCGACATCCAAGTCAGTGGATGAACAATTGACCGTCCGGTCAGTGCGAACGATCAGCTGTGTGGTTGATTAGGAAAGCTCTAGCGCCAGTCATCCTTAAATCACATGACCTGATTACACCTATTGATTACCTCCTCGAATGTTGACTTCTCCGGTGGAATTACTATTCTTGAGTCACGTGACCACGTCATGTGGATTCCATGATTAAGTGATTAGTGGCACTGTGTAAGTACAAGTTACCCACAATACTGTTCAGCCTCCTTAGTTAAACTACTAGCCGTAAGGTCATCGGTTCGAATCTCCATAAAGGTTTCTGAGACGCGTACCACAGATGGTTTCCAATTTTCAGAGTAGATAGAAAATAAGTCTCAAATTGAGATTTGATTAGTCACCAGGAGGCCTTCAGGTACCACGGTTTCACTCTACATAAATCTCCCACGAATCGAACACTGACTCAGTTGTTCATTCTCATTTCCTGCAGCTAAATGGCAGTAACGATAGATTTCATCTCGCTGTTTTTGTGGTCCTATGAGATGCAGAAACAGAAATTTAATCTAAATTAATTAAAATTTAATTAAATAAAATTAAAAACTAGCCTGGATTACTGGTATGCTTTCTGTCCTTCCACGCTCGTGTTATCAGGCTAAACTCTGTGTATCTGACATTAGGCTAATACGGTACTCATAAGTTTGCTGAAAATTGTTCGACAGCCCACGACCGGTTTTGCCATTGTTGTGGCTCATCAGGTAGGCACAGTCCCCGAGTTTCCAACAACCTTATGTTCCGCTTGAGCCCATGTTGCACGAAATAAGCGAAGTACACTCATTTTCAGACCGATTAGGTTTTTCGGGAAACTCACCCAGAATCCAGCTGAATCTTTCGTTTATGATACTTTTAAGCAAACGTATGAGTAGTGTATTACGTCTATACATGCATCGCAATATCTCGAATAACGTACCAGCTAAAATACGAGGCGGC